TGTTGTCAACAGATTCAATCGATTTCTCTCTTCTCTCTCTCTCTCTCTCTCTTCTCTCTCTCTCTAACTTTTAAAAATTTTGTATTTGAAAATTACAAAAATGAAAATGTTATTTAATTTTACAGAGTATTAATAATGTCGGTCATATCTGATTGTACACTCGATTTGTTAATATGGGTCTATTTTACCTTTATCACTTTTATTAATTTTGCGTGTGAATGTGCATTAAAAACACCAAGGGCAAATACTATCACCCTTGAAGGACACAACTATTTCAGACTTTCAGGTAAGTAATACAAACATTTTTAAATTAATTTAATCTAAATCCAATATTTTAATTCGTGTAATTATAGTTATATGTTTGTGCCTGGTAATGGAAGTAATGATCAATACCATTTGTGTGATTTGTAAACACTATAAACACGTTGAAACACTAATAGTGGTCAGTCTATGTAATCCGGTTCTGTGTGTGATTATGGTTATCGTGTATTTAGTGGTTTCTAAATAACTTATACATAACATTTTTTATCTTGATGTTAATTATTTAATTTAAATAGTAGATTAACTAAAACTATTATTCATTGTATTAACCGTATTAATAATAATATTTTGAATATAATAATTTATCTATTTTGATAAATAAAGAATATTATGATAAAACAATTATAGATTTTTAAACTATAAATAATGAAAATTAATAAGTAATTACTTCGTAAATTCACATGCATAAAATTTTAATAATAAAATAAAATAACTTACATATAAATAAACATTTAATAACATGCAAGTTTAATTTTATAATTACAATTACTAAAGATAAATAAATACATCATACAATGCACAGTAATGAAGAGACAAAAAAATTATTACAATATTATTACCGTAAATAAATATTAAATACTTTTGTAAAACAGCAATACTTACAACACAATTCATAAAAATAATTCACAAAATAAAATTGTGTAAAAAAGCACAACAAAATCAAACAAAAAACACACATGCTCTATTAATCAGCACAGCAACAGCCGAGACAGCACCCGGCTAACAGTGCCAGACAGCAGCAGGACTCTTTGGACATACCGCCACCACCATTATCATTTCGTTTACCACGTACCTCTTCAATAATAATAGGCTGTTGCTGTACAGGTGGAGCCCCGTATGGCATACCGTATGGCTGTTGGCCATACATGGGTTGGCCGGGCGGTGGCTGTTGCATA